ATCAAAATGTATATCTTTACTTTCTTTAGAGACATCGGGATTTCGATATTAATTGATCTGATGATCTTGTTAATGGATTGAATGTTACATTTCTATCGGAGTAGAGCAGCTTTTTGATGCTGTTCCATGTGATTTGACAGTTAGAAGGTATTCCAATGATGGTACAAGGTGTTTATTCTGATGATCCTCAAGCTCAGCTAGAAGCCACAACTCAATTTAGGAAGTTGTTATCTATAGGTTGGTTATATACATTTGTTCCTTCCAGAAGCAATTTTACGTTCTCGGGTTATATATGTGTGATATGTATCTGATGGTTGCTTGTAATATAATTTGATGAGTAGAGCGTAGTCCTCCAATTGATGAAGTGATCAAAGCCGGTGTTGTCCCACGTTTTGTGGAGTTTCTTGGAAGGCAAGACCATCCACAACTACAGGTGTGTCTTATACTTCCTACGTTTTAGAATTTTTACTTATCTATGGCACCCTATAGACTCAAGAATGGTCTGGTGGCTTACTTTAAAGTTCGTTTGCAGTTTGAAGCTGCATGGGCTTTGACCAATGTTGCATCAGGAACATCAGATCATACTCGGGTTGTGATTGAACAGGGAGCTGTTCCTATCTTCGTTGAACTTCTTAGCTCTGCTAGTGATGACGTTCGAGAACAGGTTGGCCACTAACTAGCTAAATAGTTGTAGCTCTCACTTGCATTTCCATTTTATATTTGTGACCAGGATACATGCCTCCAAGTTCGGTGGCTGTATTTGGTTTGTTTGTTGTTTCTTTTGATCCACAGTAGTTTTTTGTGATATGAAATTATAGTCAGCCAAGTGCTTCTCTGTAGTTGTAGGTGCTAAAACGTTAATGGTTTCTTACAAACCTTTATATGTATCCATTGTAGGCGGTGTGGGCCTTGGGGAATGTTGCTGGAGACTCTCCAAACTGCAGGAATCTTGTTCTCAACTATGGGGCTCTTATACCGTTGCTCTCTCAGTTAAACGAAAATTCTAAGTTGTCCATGCTAAGGAATGCTACATGGACCTTGTCCAACTTTTGCCGTGGTAAACCACCTACACCATTTGAACAGGTGGGACTACAGAAATGGATTCTCTTATATATCTTGATTTTTCTGGACTTCTTATGATTTACAGCTCAAGTTGTTTTAGTTATATGTGTTTGATTGCATTCCTCATGTTGCTCAAGCATAGTGTTGATTATTCATATGCTTCAGGTGAAGCCTGCGCTGCCAGTTCTCCGGCAACTTATCTATCTAAATGATGAAGAAGTTCTCACAGATGCCTGCTGGGCTCTCTCCTACCTTTCAGATGGTCCCAATGATAAGATTCAGGCTGTGATTCAGGCTGGTGTCTGTCCACGACTTGTGGAGCTTCTGGGGTTAGTTCCTTTTTGCCTTGCCATGTTTTTGTTTATTTTTCATCATCTTTAGTTTCTCTAGTTTTTTCTTAGTGCTATACAAGTTGGTCTTTTTCAATAATGGTGTTGCCATCTTCAAAATTGTGATGATTTTGGAGTACCTTTCGAAAATTGAGTGTTGATGTTCTCACTGCCTCATATTCTTGCTCTTTTTGTATACTGACTAATATATATTTCTTCAAGTCATCCATCACCCACGGTTCTCATTCCTGCCCTCCGAACTGTTGGGAACATCGTAACTGGTGATGACTCTCAGACACAGGTATGTTTTTTGAACAACAACTCTTTATAAATTTTTTGGGTTTTTGCTTTGGCATTTGACTAAGATTGTATGTTTTGCTTTTCAGTTTATAATTGACAGTGGCGTACTTCCACACCTTTATAATTTGCTTACGCAAAATCACAAGAAAAGTATAAAAAAAGAAGCTTGTTGGACTATCTCAAATATAACTGCTGGGAATAAAGTTCAGATAGAGGTATGCGGCTTTTTCTGCTATATTGAATATGTCAAGAAGACAGTTGTTAACGGAAGATAGTATGCTAATGCTATTTCATTTCTGATTCTGCAAGTTAAGTTACTGAACAAGTTTAATGGTCTTTACTCTTTTCTTGAGTCTAAAGAGAGCAACTTTTAGTACTTTTATATTCTACATAAAATTCTGTGTCTAGAAATCTGGTTATAAGCTAAAACAGGGACTTGGTTCTATTTGAAAATTGCTATTGTTATATGCCAACAATACTTGTTACAGAAAATATTGAGAGGCATCAAAGTTCTAAAGGATAAAGGCAGTTTTTAAGCATTTTATATTATTGAAACAATAGGCTGTGGTTGGCGCTGGAATAATCCTTCCACTTGTGCACTTGCTCCAAACCGCGGAGTTCGATATAAAGAAGGAAGCTGCATGGGCTATTTCCAATGCCACCTCAGGAGGGTCTCATGAGCAAATTCAGTAAGTCTTCTCTATTCCTAAGGGCATTTGCAAACAATTGACTTCGCTTCAGAGTGTTCTCTTAGTGTCTGGTACCATCATCTATCTCAAAATCGAAAAATGCTATAACAGAGTTTTGCATGCAGATATTTGGTGACCCAAGGCTGCATCAAACCACTTTGTGATCTTCTAGTCTGCCCCGATCCGAGGATTGTGACAGTGTGCCTCGAGGGGCTTGAAAACATTCTCAAGGTTGGTGAGGCTGACAAGGAGATGGGATTAAATGATGGGGTGAATCTCTATGCTCAAATAATAGAAGAATCTGATGGGTTGGACAAAATCGAAAACCTTCAATCCCATGATAACAACGAGATATATGAGAAGGCCGTAAAGATCTTGGAGAGATATTGGGCTGAAGAAGACGAAGAGCAGATTCTGCAGGACGGCGGGAACGAAAATCCACAACAGGCTTTCAATTTCGGGAACAACCAGCCCGCTGCTCCCCCTGGTGGATTCAAATTTGACTGAAAAAGGTATAGAACAAATTGAAATCCTTTGGTTTGGAGAACCCGAGATTCAGCTTTTGCAACTGTTATTGACATTTGCCATGTTCAAGTTTGGGTTTTTGAGTTCTGGTGCAAAAAGGCTTTTCCTGTTTTTTTTTTTTTGTTGTTGTTATCCTTATTCCTCTTGAATCATTCTCTGATTCTGTATCTTAAACTCTGGGATAAATCATGTCTAGTGTGATTACTGGTTTAGGATATGATCACACTTTGTGTTTGTCACTTTTACTTTGTTATTATTATAGTTTTATAACTTTTACTTGGCATAGTACAAATACAAGAAGAAAGTTTTGATTGCAAGAGTCATGATTGTTAATAAACTCTTCAAATGAATTGGTTAAGGAAAGCTTTAATCTCATCAATATAAGGAGACTTCGTAGGAATGATGTGGCCAAAGTCGTGCTCAATAATGGTGGCGCAACCGTCGTCAAACAACCTCGCCAGATCTGAGCTGGCTTGAGTCACGATCTGTCTGTCTTTTCCAGGCTGGCTTCCGAATATGTGAAGTGAAGGGCATTTGATCGATCCTTGCTCCTTCTCCAACAATGGCTGCGGTGTGAAACCCGAGCACAACACGCAGAATCTGAAGTCTATTTCACCTACGAGCTGGTCCTGTTTCCCACATACAGCCGCAGCCATTGCTGCACCTTGAGAAAATCCGAGTATGCCATCAAAAGGCCCTTTCTCTGCAAACACATTCTTTAAGTATGTCAGGGATTCGCCAAACCCTTCGGTTTGATTCTGATACTGCAATGGATCAAACTGGCATTGAGCCACTGTCCAGCCTGCTTCACTCGGTTTGTCAAAATCTGGTGAAACCAACCACGCAAACTTCTTGTTGCAAGCCCCAGATGGAGGGGTTGCAGTCTGGTAGATGAACTGTAGTTCGTGCGGTGCATCAATGAACACGAGCTCGGCAATATTCTTCAGTTTCTTTGCTAGTGATCCAGTCCTCCCTTTGAAGCCAGACGCATTCTGCCTAAAACCATGTAAGCACAAGATCCTTAGTTTCCTTCTTGTATCGTCACCTGGGGAGCATAGAATATGAGAATACAAACTTGAGTCCGGGGAAAAAGGATTAGAAAATTCAAAAAATTCTCTGATGTTTTCAACATTTGATCTGGAAATGGACCAGTAGACCTTACCGTTGCTTACAGAAGGTTGATTTGGGGGATCAAGACTCAAAGGAAATTCCCCTTTTCCATGTTTACGACACAGCTCGCACACATACATATCTCCTTTAACCTGCGACATCACAATCATAAGTCCAAGATACACAATGCTTGTGAAATAGAGACATAAAAGTGGTCCAGGGTGCAATACCCGACAATGATTGCATACTAAAACGAGCATCCGGCATAATCTGCAACGGCAACGTGGAGAATAGTCATCAAAGGTATTGTTGCAGAGAAGGCAACTGCCCACTATATCCTCTTTTGAGCTTCCAACTGAGATCCTTCAAACCATGCATGAAAATGTATGTTACTCAGAAATTTTTTAAAGAAAGGTTTTTCCTAGTCAATTAAAAGAGAAAGATCCTTAGTCATATACCGGTGATCAAACACAAAGTTCTTCCCTTTGAAGAACCCTCCACTGGGAAACTGTTCAAGGTATCTCTGTATGCCACCATAGAGCTGCAAGAAACAAAGAACAGCAAAGTCAGCCAAGTTCAGTGACGTGTATCAAATCCATTTGCTATCCAGGATCTCACCTGAAAAGTATTCTCAAATCCAGTGCCTTTGGATCTGATATACGCAGATGCCATTTCACACCTTATTCCTCCAGTGCAGTACCTGATTTGCCCAACACATGAGAAAATTTAATGATATGGAAAGTAAACTGGACAAGAAACTGTTCAAGGTATCTATGTATGTTCACAAAACTATTACTAGTCATACATGAGCACGTTTTTGCCCTTCAGTTTCTCGGCATTCTGATCAATCCAGGTTGGCAAATCGCTGTACTGCCTGATTTCAGGATCAAGGGTCTCAACATTTTCTGATTCGAATTTCCCAAGCCGTGTCTCGTATAGGTTCCTCGCGTCCAGCAAGACAAGTTCCTTATTTTCAGACTTCCCATCTCCATCCAGATATTCATCTGAGTTGAAAGAAAATATAATCAGATAAAAACACAACATAGCAAGCGAACAAAAGTTAAAACAAATAAAAACACTTACTGGCACTCTGTAGGACCGAATGAAACTCCTCAGCAGAGAGATGTTTCCCAGCATTTGAAATATCTGGGGATTTTAAGAGAGGGCAAGGACTAAAGGTCACTAACTCCTGCAAATCACATCACAATGCCACAATTCTGTCAAAATGCTAGAAAGACTATGGAGGTACAATTTGGGTAGATCCATTTCCATTTGAGAGTGTGTAAAGTAAATCGATTCAAACCATTCACAAAGTTCAAAAAGCCTTTATTTCCATTATCAATCCAAAGGATCTGTAAATTACTTGGCAAAAATTCTTCCGATGCAATATAGTTAGCATACGAACAGTAGTTCTGTTTGGTAAGAAGATAAGGCAACAACCTCAACAACGCGGATGGAGAGCGATGTAAACCCACATTCCTGAGCAACTTTGTCATTCAAGGGATGATGGCATGATGCAAGCTTGAAGTCAGTCCCTTCGAACAAACAATTCGACTTTGCGGCGGCAATATGTTCCTCCAATGCAGTTAACTTCCCACCAACCTAACCAAAATGCAAACTTTTCTGTTACCCCAACCGTATAAACAGAACTCTAGCAAAATCTGCATACTTAAGTGTCTGCTTATTTTATGATTCAGATGGATCAGACTTGAAACTATACTTGGAGAACTGTAATCCTCAATTAAACAACTAAAAACCTCAAAACTCAAAAGACTTGAGACTTTATTGTCATTTCATTCATCTACAACAACTTACTAGTGATACCTCAATCAGACAGCCAGAGCAAAACACAAATCCAATGTTTCAGAACTTCATCAATTGTACAGCCAAAGCAATATCAAATACACAAGGGTTGAAGACTTTCTTTTCGTTCTTCTCAACTCATAAAGGACTAGACTTTAACCCTCACAAAGGATTAAATCAGTAAACAACATCGAATATGCAGAGTAGAAGATTAGAAGCAATACAGTAACATTGACGCCATTAGGAGAGAGCCTGACTCGTCCGAGTAAACCGAGTGAGTTGCAGCTGGATTCATAGAATGAAACGAGCTCATCTAGATCAGGAACAGATGTGTATTTGTAGTACAGCAAAACCCCGTATTGCTCTTCATCTTCAATCCTCTGCTTCTCACCATCACCACACGAGCTCGTTCCCATTAGGGTTTTTGTTCTTTTCAAGTGGGAAAGAGAAGCAACGATACTCTCATGGAACCAGAAAGGGAAGACTATCGTTCGCTGCTTACGCGAACGCGATTGGGTTAACCCCAGAAGAAAAAAACCGAACCTTTGCCTAAACCGAATTTGATTATAAAATCAAGACCGAATTGAAACAGATTTTTACTGTAATCTACTTTCAAGTTTCAAGTTGCCTAAGCAATTTAGTTACATAGCGACCAAAAATTGTGTAACACTCTCTTGACGATTAGTTTATCTTTGTTAGGAGAAAGGAACTGAAATGAAATAGAAACAACAGAGCTTAGCATACTCTCTTGAATAAAACATTGGTTATACATTGTTAGCGATATCGAAAGCAAAAGACAGAGAGATACAACTTCAGTTGGGCATTTTAGCTCCGGGAAGTAAAATGGAACGATATGGCCTTTGCACCCTTCAGTTTTCTCCCTTTTTCTGTTTGGTTTCAGGGACTAGAGGCTTGACGGCGAGTTTCGGCTTTGTGCTGACGAGTCTATGTGGAAGCACTGAAACAGCAGCGACAAAGGAGCCATTTGGTATTCTAGAGAGCGGTAAGAGTTCCACCAGAACACATAACTGCACTTTTTTTTTACACCAAATTTCAGAGTTTTATAAACGAAATTATTCGACAAAGGTTTTGTATTATTTTCTATATGTAAGTTACCTCTGGAGATTTGAGATCCACAACTGAATCTGGTACAATGTCTTTCACTCCAGCCGCCACAGTTTCAAAGCATTTGCTACGGTCCAGCAAAGGACATTGATCCAGAACCTCTGATGCTTTCTGAATCTTTCCTTTTGTCTCCTCCACACCTCTTCGGTTATACCCAGCTGCAAACTGTATGGTGGCATATGGTTAGTAACCATTTCCATTAATCTAACAATATATCAAACAGATACTCCTATATAATGGAAACTTGAGTAAGTAGACAAACTCTTTTTTTTACCTTCACGGGTTTTGATAGTGTATTGTGTTTATCATCGACAAACCGCTGAACAAGCTTGGATACTGTTTCCCGAAGTTCTTTCTCTGTCAAACCACAAGTAGCTTGAACAGGGAAGATCCGATGGCACCATCTGCATCATTCGAATAAAAAATTACCTGTTTCGTCAAGAAAACATGCTTACATCAACGTCTTCTGATAGACAGTGATCAAAAGTTCCTAGCAAAGTGGGATAGTTAAGAACTACATGGCCATTTGATTCGATGAAATAAGTCTGATATGTAACAGAAACTACTTTCTGAGACTATGATACATGAAATTTGATTTGGGATTGAGACTAAATCAGAACTCTATAAGCATGCTTATTTAAAGGTAGGGTCGATCTTAAGGCCACTGGTAGCTTTGAATGTTGAATCAAATGACCAAAGGTTCGTCAACTAACATTGATATGCACTGAATTTAGAAGAACGACTTACACTGGTGCCTTCATAGCTCCAGATTCCATAAACTGGAAGATTCTTGACACAATATTTGTTGTATCGGGAGAGTTTTCAACAGGGAAAGTAAAGAGAAGCAAGCCACTCTTTGTCAGCTTAACCAATGACATGAGAGAATTATGTTCTTCATTGATACTTTCTTTGGCCGATTTGAGATCCTCAACACTTGGATTATCACCTAAACAAGGTGCCAAAAGAGAAAGCAAAAGACAGATTATAAGCAAAAAATCAAACCAGAAACTATGCTCTTCTGCAAACGAAAGTAACCTGTCTCCTGCACGGCATCATTGTCAAGAGATTCGGTCTTTCCTTCGCCTTCCTCTATCACTTGTGCACAAAGTTTCTGTCTTTTTGATGCCATATTCATGTCGGAAGATATTATAACTTCAGCTTTCTCCTCATGTATAGACCCCAGACACTGAACAATAAACAGTTTGATTGCTGTGAGACAAGCTGACCTTTCGAGAACAACTACCCAACTCAAACAACTAAAGCCCCACATAGTTTACTAAACATCATCTTTTACAAACTCTAATTATTACGAGCACCTTTCGCTTCGAGGATAGTGTTTCTCTACCACTGGCACAGATTGATCTTCAGTCACTCGAGTTATCTTCTAAACCCCCAAAACAAAAGCTCACACATTTTCCTCACTACAAAAGAGTAAAATGATGGAGCAATGTGACAATACCTTTCCAAGGATGGACATGACCTCTTTAGTAGCACTTTTCTCCCTTTCTGATAATAAGAGGCGAAATTCAGAAACAGATTACAACACTTAATCCAAAACAGAACAGATTCATATCACTCACAAAAACTCGGAGACAATTGAGGTTATTCGAGAGTATGGAAAAGAGATCATACTGATGGTGCAGGTGACAAGGAATCCGGAATGAGAATGATGAAGCAAAGAAGATGGAGCTTTGTAGTCGAAACGAGGTATGCTTATGATGCTTGCGTGTTGCTCCCATGGAGCCAATGTTTTACCTTCGTCTTCTCTTTCTCTCTTTTCACAAACAAGCTCCTCTTTCTCAATTGCTCTTCCAACATCGTCCACTTCTTCTGCAGCAGCCATTGTTACTCTCTCTATATTTGGCTGTAATTTACTCTCAAGAGCTCAAAGCCTCGAACTTTTGCAGTTTGATTCGTATTTTTATTTTTCCAATTAGACGAAAAAGAGAGAGTTTGAGCCCTTGTATTGGATTCGGCGGTTCGGAAAAGTGCGATTGCGTTTAAAACCCTGAAAACGCGACTTTCAGACAACGGAGCTCCCAAACAGCTAAACCCTCCCTGAAGCCTACCAGAGAGTCAGAGACAGAACAATAGAACATCGAAGGTACGAGCTCCGGTTCGATCCTCTCAAGATGCAGGTACTTGCGCGGAATCTAGTTCGGAGAGTATCAAGAAGTCAGGTGATTTGCTTCTCAATTCATTTTCTCTCTCGATGATTTGCCTTGTTTGTTCGCGTTTGGGGATTGATATGCCGCCACACGAGCATCGTCTTGTACTCTGTTCGTGAAGCTTTATACAGATTTGAGGTTTAAAGCTCGATTTTTTTATCACTCGAAGGGAAAAATCTAAACTTTATAGAAATCCTGAGACTTGATTGCAGAGAGTACTTAGATTTACATTTCTAGTGTTAACGAAAATGTGGTTTCAGGTCATTAGTCGCAATGCATATTCAACACAAAGGGTCAGAGACATTGGTCAGCCAACTCCAGCATCTCATCCTCATGTAACTCTTATCTTTGAATATGTTCTCTTCGATTGGCAAATGCTTTATATGCGCTGATGGTTCGCTATTCCGCAATCAGTTAATGGCGGAAGGAGAGGTTACGCCGGGAATAAGAATTGAGGAATACATTGGTAGGAGGAAGAAACTTTTGGAGCTACTTCCTGAGAACAGTTTAGCCATCATTTCTTCAGCCCCCGTGAAGAAGATGACAGACATTGTTCCATATACGTTCAGACAAGAGGCTGATTATTTGTATCTAACTGGCTGCCAACAACCAGGTGGTGTGGCTGTTTTAAGTGATGAACGCGGTTTATGCATGTTTATGCCGGAACAAACTCCTAACGTATGATGATTTATACATGAATGTCTGTATACAGTGCAATTCGTAGTTTTGTTTGACGATTGATAAGAGTTGATTTGTGATATAGGACATTGCTTGGGAAGGTGAAGTAGCTGGAGTTGATGCAGCGTCCGAGGTGTTCAAGGCAGAACAAGTATATCCAATAAGCAGATTGCCCGAGGTAACTTATATATCCTCCCTAAGTGGATGCTTTTGTAGAATTTCCTATGCTGTCGTTGTTGACTTTGTTACATTGATAACACAAAATTTGTTTTCTTTTCACGTTCCTTGTGTACAGATTCTTTCAGACATGATAAGAAATTCTTCAAAAGTGTTTCATAATGTTCACACGGCCTCGCAAAGATACACAAACTTGGTGGAGTTTCAAAAGTCAGTATCTCTTGACAAAGTGAAAACTCTTTCAAGTTTAACACATGAGCTGAGGTTAATTAAATCACCTGCTGAACTCAAATTGATGAGAGAGTCTGCATCTATTGCCTGCCAGGTACTCCTGTGTTACGAAAAAACCATTATTATGATCTTTCTTGTTTTTTTAGCTTGTAATTACAAATGAAATGCTAGAGTCTAAGTGAAAAATTGAGATGGTGGAGTAATAACAGGACAATATTGGTTAAAGCTGTAACTTTTGCAGACAATTGTGCGTATACAGTGAAATTCTTGAGAATTCAAGTGAAAAAAAGAAACGAAAACAAGGAACATGCACATAAGAAGCTCTCAAGCCATGACCCTAGTGAACATTTTGGTTGGGGTGTTAATATGATTACAAGCTGTTCATGAACAGCTCTCGTGAAGGCAATGCCTCGCACAATGATATGCCCAATGTTATCCGGTTCAAAATTCTATATTTGTCTCGTGGCCAAAATGACAAGAAAAAAGAGCATAGAGGCAATATATCATGAACGATTTTCTAAATATTAAGTGAAGATAATAGCTATTACAGATATATGTAGTGATTTGGATATTTTCATTCTCAGAGCCTTCTGAAAACAATGCTACATTCAAAAGGGTTTCCCGATGAAGGCATCTTATCAGCCCAAGTTGAATATGAGTGTCGGGTACGAGGTGCTCAGCGAATGGCGTAAGTCTCGACATTTCTCTCTACTCCATAAATAAATATGTGATTCCCTATTCTTCTTGTTCTGAAAATGTCATGTCTATTAATCCTCAGATTCAATCCTGTGGTTGGTGGCGGTCCAAATGGCAGTGTTATTCACTATTCACGAAATGATCAGCGAGTAAGTTTGATGAACCCTATTTGATTTGCTACTATATATATATGCTCTTGAAGCAGCATATTCTTTTCATAATTATGTGCAGATTAAAGATGGTGATCTTGTCTTGATGGACATGGGTTGTGAGTTACATGGCTACGTTAGTGATCTTACTCGCACATGGCCACCTTGCGGAAAATTCAGTTCTCCTCAGGTTGATGCTTCTGCTGTCTCATTTTTTTTTTATCTTTTTTTGTCTGGTAGCTCTATATTCTTCTGTTTTTGTTTGTACTTAACCGTTGGTGTTTGGATGATGTAACTGAGAAATATAACCTTACCTTCTATTCCCAAACTCTAATGCCAGAGTTCTTGCTTTTTTCTGAGATGTACGTCAAGCAGGCTATCTTTTTCCTTATTGAATTGATTTAGGAAACCTTCGAAATTACAAAAAAAAATTGTTAGTCACTAGTATTTAATGAAACTCGACCACTAGCATAGCCCTCATACATACACCAACCGAACACGTGTTATGATTATTTATTCTGATATTCCATTTGCCGGTTACAGAAAGAATTTTGTGGATCATTGCTCGATTTCACAGTTATGTTTAGAGAACAAGATAGAAATCAACTGTTTAGCAATTCGCCAATTCCTTGAAGGTTTTTATTTGTCCAGTAACTGACTCTTCAAGCTGCTTCCTTCAAATTTTCCTTGTTGTTTGTTTATTTTGTTGAAGATCCAAATATTGATATTTTTGTGTTTCCAGGAAGAGCTATATGATCTTATACTTCAGACAAACAAAGAGTGCATAGAGCGATGCAAGCCTGGCACAACCATCCGCCAACTACATTTATATTCGGTAAATATAACCTTATCTTAAGCCATGTCTTTGTGCTTCTGATGTATCAGATGCACATATCGTACCGTTCACTATTTGTTATGGAATGCAAAAAAAAAAAAAATTCATGTCGAAGGATGGTTACAAATATTTTATAAGCTAAAGTGGACCAGATGTGTCATAAATACCATCAGAACTAACAGCCTTAAACTTAAAAGCTTTATTTTGCCAACAAAATGATGTTTGAACACTGATGATGCTTTGTGGTTTTGCAGGCCGATTTGTTGTGCGAAGGACTGATGAAGATGGGCATCTTGAAGAGTCGTAGAGTGTATCAGCAGCTGAATCCGACCTCCATAGGTATGTATTATTGAACCTCGATCACATTAACATATTGGTTTGCTCATCCAATCAAATATTGTAAAATTGCGTTTTTGATCAATACAATCAACTAAGTTTGGTTGACGTGTAGATGGTAACATCCTTCCATTTTCCACCGTTATGCTGTATAAAAGTTATCATGTAACCAAAAACAAATATTCTGTACGGTCGGGGGAAAACTTATCTAACAAAATTCTCTTGTGATGGATAAAAAAGGTCACTACCTTGGGATGGATGTGCATGATTCTTCTGCTGTGGGATATGACCGTCCTTTGCAACCTGGTTTTGTAAGTAACACTACTCTTTCGAGTCTTACTTTTGTGAGCAACGCATAGTCAGGGTTATAACATTTTCACCTTTTACTTACCTCCTCCCTCACTCTTTGTTGATACTAGTCCTTCAAATCTGCTTAGTGCCCTTTGAATCCTGATAGTCAAACTTTAATAATTAGTCATGTGATGTCATTGGGTCCTTACGTCTGAAGCAAATGATTTTGGTGGTGCAGCTGATGTATCTTACAGAATCTAAAAGGCTAGATCACACATCAAATGGACTGGTTTTGGTGTTTTTTCGGTATTTGCTAGATATTATTTATGTCAAACTTATGACCGGTGTTTGGACAGGTGATCACGATTGAGCCAGGAGTCTACATTCCATCTTCATACAACTGCCCTGAAAGGTACAATGCTTTCTTCAATCTCTACACATCAACTTCAAGTAGAAATCGTGATCATGTAGGAATATTTGCATCCATGAAGTATCTGACTGTGTAGATCAGGGTGAACTGACAGAAAATCAACCGTGGGACATGACATTATCTATCTGATCAAGCAATATATGATTATGTGACTTTACTGTTGAAATTGCTTATTTTTCTCTGCAGATTCCAAGGGATTGGAATAAGGATTGAGGATGACGTTTTGATCACTGAGACAGGCTATGAGGTGCTCACAGGGTCAATGCCAAAGGAGGTCAAACACATAGAGACATTGTTGAATAATCACTGCCATGGAAACTCTGCGCAGAGTTTCGCGAGTTTCTCTTTGTAAGGTGAATGTTACATTCGAGCCGTAACCCGAAATTGGGAAGATATGCATAGGGATTAGTCTAATTCATGAGAACAAAACAGTTTGGCTCTTGCATTATATTTGGTATGATGATGGTTAAGAGTTTCTTTCTTGTATGGATAAATTTGAGAATCCGAGATAATAAAAAAGATTTCATTGGAATCAATTTATAGTGAAGCAGAAGCAAAAATGGTCACTTGATATTATTACGTACTATCAAGCAAATTAGAGAGGAGAGATTTACAAAGGCAAAACATGTGTGATCTAGAAATCATGAATCAAGCATTCTTAAGGGTGGAATTGTGTTGTAGCCAAAACAAGACATCGAGTTTTAAGAAAGTAATGTCACAAATCACAATCAATAAGTTAGAAGTTGGAACTCTTAATAGTTATGTGAACTTTTCAGTCTTTATTTGTTTTATGGTCTTGTTTAAGGCAGAAAGAAAAACAATAGTATAATTCACAATAAGACTATGATTCTTAATTCGTACCACCAAATGGTCATTGCACTGAGGGTCGGTAGTTCAACCAAACTAGAAAAGTGTTATTTAGGCCTTACATACGGTATTATCAATGGCTGATCTCATACACCAAGAGAAATTATGAGCCAAATGCTTGGACTTTTAGGGTTTATTGATTCGATTATACGAAAAATAATTGAAGAGTACGGTTACTGGTTAGCAAGTGAGGGAGAATGTGAAATGATAGGCACTGCATTTATATGGACGGGACACGCAACCATCAATCATACATGGTAATAACAATCATCATTATTGTTGTGATGATGATTGCTAGATGATCATGTAAGATGGTTTAATCCAAATCTGGAAAAAAAACAAAGAATTGCATGTATCAGTATTTATGTATTCACCCATAAATCTGCCCAACCATTCCCATTAATGCTTCTACATACCTGAGAATGAAATTTTACATCCAGATCTAGCCTTCTCGATTCAGTTTTATTCATCTTTTTAGATGTACAAAATTTAAAGTTTGTTTATTGTATTAAAATGATTTTAAAGATTAGTGTGATCCAAATAGCATTTTTAGCATTGTATATAATAAAATTTCCTTGTACTTGTAGTAAAAGGACAAGATTTCACGTCGTTATCTATAGTGATGTTTTTTCTTCACCAAATTTGTATACGGTTGGTCTTAATTTGATACCAAAACTAATAAAACAATTTTCTAAAATAGTAGAGTCAAAGGTATGATTTTTCAATTTGTGTGTTATACTTGTACATAACAAACCGTTCCATTTTCTAAATCCAATGGCAATCTCCGTAATAAGATCAGAAAACCAAGGGCAAACACACACTACCCCACCTATATATCACAATGCTAAGTCCCTTACCTCAGCACAACAAACAACTTCAGCTTTGAGACAAAGCTAAAACTAAAAACCTTTTCAAAAAAAAAAACAGAGCAAAGAGACAGAGATGGGTTTGGTTACAGAGGAGGTGAGAGCTAAGGCAGAGATGTACACCGGAGATGAGATATGCAGAGAGAAGACAAAATGTTTCCTCAAGGAAATATCTATGCCCAATGGTTTATTACCATTGAAGGACATAGAAGAGGTTGGGTACGACAGAGAGTCAGGTGTTGTGTGGCTCAAGCAGAAACAGAGCATCACTCACAAGTTTGAAGAGATTGACAAGCTTGTCTCATATGGAACCGAGGTCACTGCCGTGGTTGAGACCGGGAGGATCAAGAAGCTTACTGGAGTCAAGGCCAAGGAGCTTCTTATTTGGATCACTATCAATGAGATCTATACAGAGGACTCAGGAAAGATCACATTCAAGACACCGACCACACTGTCCAGGACTTTCCCAGTTTCTGCTTTTACGGTCCCAGAAGAAGTGGAGCCAGCCAAGGAAGAACCTGCCAAGGAGAAGAGCAGTGAAGCCGCCGAGGTCAATGAGGCTGTTCTAATCAAGGAGCCTGTTGCAGTCAAAGAGGCCTAAATCAAGCCTCTCTCACTGCTTCAACAGTTAAAACGAGACAAAAATCTTTTTTAAGTATACTTAAGAATTTGAACCAATCATGGAGAGTTGGTGATTCTCACTACTCTTACTCTCATGTATTACCTACCACTTGTTGCTGCTTGTTTTACCTGTAATAAGATGTTATCATCCTGTTCCACATAAGTTATCCGTAATTATCTATAAACTACATTGAAAAGCTTCAAGAAAATGGGAATCCTCTTTAGCAAGCAAAAGTGAGAGCTTACACTTTCCGATTTCTGGAGTTTCTTACATATACAAAGCTTAAGAGTAAATAAAGAAATATCTATCGAAGCTTAAGATCATCAAGATTACACTTGAAACCTCCTATCCTTGTAAGCAACAACTTTGCAGCAGTAGCTACTATCAAAGCTATACGAAGCGTATCTTGCCAACGGGCTACTTTCCCTTCAAATGGAAAATCGAAGGTTACTTCATAGCCAACCATTTCCTCAAGTTTCTAGCAAGCTAAGACAACCAAACAAACCGCTTACAACATATAGACCTGAACTGAGATCTTTTCAAAATGTTTAACCTTGAAAAGTTTCCACGAATTAAAATGTGTGCATACCCACTTAAACCGCTGGCTCTAAAAAAGGAATGACACTGTTTACTCTTGACTAGGTAGCCACTCAGCAACATCGTTCATCTACAATGACTTCAAAAGCACAATGAGCATGGCTTTCAAGTACCATATCCAGACAGGTTTGACCATATACGGCAAGTATAAGAGTACTAATGTTCTTGGCATCAGCCACATATAAAAAGATATGTCCTTTCCATTCACATGACTAAGAAGGATCATATGATGCCAGATGAGGTAGGTAATAGATTGACCTACCTCTTTCAAAAATATTTTTATCTAAATTCACAATAGGAGAATCAACAAAGCAAGAAAATAGAATTACAGCAAAACTTGCCTATCAAAGAATCAATGGAAATCAGGAGCATTATGATTGTCACATGGAAAAATGAACAACTATCAACTGTTTTTTTTTTTTGCTTCTTAGTCAATCATCATAAATGCAATTATCTACAATAGCCCTGGGAACATCAGGGTTTAGACTAAGAGATTCAAATACCTCAAAAAGAAAACAAAACTTGAGATCCCAAAATCCTGACTTGTTATCCAGCCCAATTACACCGCCTGAGACTGAAAATCAAAATTAATGGGAGTAAACCAATCAGTAAAGCTTGATGATAGATGAGTATTGCAGGGTAACAATCAGGATCGATGCTGAAAAACTTTGATATTGGAGCAAATAACGAAGTTATACGTGATAAAATGAGTTCATCATTTTAGAAGCATACCTTAGAAGATGTTATCCACTTGCCATTAATCCACTCCTGATGAAGCCTTAACTGAGAGTGATGAAATTTTAGCACCTCTTCAGTCTTCTTGAAGTGAACCAGGTAGCTTGACTTTGCAAGAACCTTCATAATCACCCCAACCCACCATCCATCATTATACAAAGCATCAACTTTGTCAAGCTTCTCAAACGGATTAACCATGACCGTCTCTATTGGTTGAGGCCTTATCTGTAAAACATTGACCTCTTCTCTCAGAAGCTCTTTCCCGTCTTCAGCTTTCAGTTTATCATATTCTATAAGGCATTTGTCCTTTCCTCGGTATTCAATAAGTTTTGCTGGAAACCAAGAATCTTCAAATCCATCTTCCTCACTGCTAACCTCAACTGCAGTTCCAATGCTGAACTCTTGCTTCTCGATCGCTTTCTTAGGTCTCACGTTCCGATCACATGAAACTTTCTGCAGATCCAGACAAGAATTTAACAATTACATATTTGACTACAAAAAAAAGTTGCACATAAAGTAGAGGATAAGAATGGTATGTGAGAACTTGTCTAGAATTCATCAATATTACAGAACCTTTGCCCTCTTTATCCCTCCTCTTTTCAGTGGCAGTTCCCAGGTTCCGTTAATCCAGTCTTTATGCAGACGAAGACCCTGCCTTCCAAACCGCATCTTTTCTCCTGATTGCCTGAATAAGATACCAACTATTCCATCCTGCATACTCTCAATGACATCACCTAACCACCAGCCATCATTGTAAAACGCATCAACCTTGTCTCCAACAACAAAATCTATGCCGTCCTCACTTGGTGGTGGTGGCCGTATGTGCAGAAAATCGGTTTCTTCTTTCAAAAGCTGTATGCCATCATCTTCTGTCAAGTCTCGGTACTCAACAAGGTATTTGTCTTCGCCAATGGTTTCAATGACTTTAGCTACAAACCAGGACCCCTTGAAACCTTCCTCGTCGCTGCTAACTTCAACAATCGTGCCACTCGAAAACATTTGTTTCGCGATTTCTCTAGCAGTTTCCGGATCCACTCGGGCTAATATATACTGCATTGTTATTACTGTCACGATTAATATCGCTAAACCTTCAATTGAGTCACCACAACAAAGAAAGTTCTCAAGCACCAATCTTAGCACAGTAGCAAGTGTCATTGCAATGCACAGAAGTCAGAAAACAAAAACAGTGAAAATATCATTACC